CCATCTCTTTGTGTCTTCCTCAATCTCTTTCAGAAGTGTTCTGTAGTTTTTAGGGTATAGATCCTTTACCTCTTTGGTTAGGTTTATTCCTAGGTATCTTATGCTTTTGGGTGCAATTGTAAACGGGATTGACTCCTTAATTTCTCTTTCTTCAGTCTCATTGTTAGTGTATAGAAATGCCACTGACTTCTGGGCATTGATTTTTGTATCCTGCCACACTGCCAAATTGCTGTATGAGTTCTAGCAATCTTGGGGTGGAGGCTTTTGGGTTTTCTATGTAGAGTATCATGTCAGCTGATGGTCTTTTTTTGGCTGACCTCTGAGGGCTTACGTCTTAAGTGCTCCTTCCCCATGATAGTGACAAATGCTTTGTGGTTGACTTGTCTTAATTTAGGACATTTTGCAAGAAGTCATTTTTGCAAAGGCTATAAAACCATGTTAGGTCCTGTCTAAGCTGCAAAACAGGATGTCACTGCTGTTTTAGCTGTCCTGAATCCCACATTTTCTTGTTGGGGAACCCTGGCCCTGACTACCAAACTGTCCACCTAATTCCTAACACTTCCCATGACCCGGTGAGTTTACCCTCCCCAGCACAACGCACTTTCTACTCATCCCCCAAAATCCTGTGTGTGGATTGTGTTAATGTCCTACAGACCAGGGCACCATTTTGTGCTGATTGAGGATTTTTAAGGATACAGAAAGCTTAATTGCTTAAATTAACCCACCTGTTATGGATCAGTGGTCTTTGGTCTTGCTGTTACAAGCCTTTGTCTACTAACATTTGCATTTAAAAAATCTAAAAAAAATGCACAGATCTTGCCAAATTGTCCCCCCAGAGAGATGGCTCAAGTTTATACTTCCACCAAAAATGTAGGAGTACCTTTTTCCTACACTGTATGGAAGCAGTGCAATGATCAAACATTATGGATGCTGTCATAACGTCAAACATGGGACAACATTGAAATTTATATTGATCATATTATACCATTGATTTCAAGTATATTTAAAAGCCATAGCCAGTTTTTTAAGCTATTCATATCCTTTGCTCATTTTTAATAAATTGAGCTATTGATCATTTCCACTGACCAGAGAGCGCTCTCTATAGAAATACATGACAATGGTTTCTTTGTCATGTGTTTCATATTTATTTATACCAGTTCATTTCTTAGATGAGCTTTAAAATGGCTTTTTTCACTGAGTGTCATAGGCAATTGATGAATTATTGAAAACTACATCTAAAACTAATGTACTATATGTTGGCTAACTAAAATAACCAGGTGGCTTTTGCGGGGGGGGGGGGGGTGGGTAGGGAGGTAAGTGAGTTCAATGAATTTTTGTCATCTTATTCTGTTCCATCTGCAAATTATTTTTAGGAATTCACAAACCTATACATTTTAAGATGTAGCATAACTTGTACTATCTTAGACCTTAGGAAACCATAACCTCTCATGGAGGTCCCCATCTAGCTGAGACATCACTGAAGTAATTTTCCCCAAAAATGTTCTTATCCATTTTTGGCTGCTTCTAAGAACTTTAATGAGTGTCTATTACCATAAATATATCAGAACTTCTGGGGTGATATATTGATGACTTTCAGGAGAAGTGGTATTCTGAAAATATACAGTCGGTCTTTTCCCATCAAGGGTTTTATCATGAACATGCTAAAGCTTTCAAAACAGACACTTCACTTTCCTAAATAATACTCTTTTTTTTTTTTTTTAAATCTCTGTAGCTAATCTGATGGTTCATTGTTTCCTGACTGGCTATTAAGATTAGGATGAGGTTCTAGTGCTCCTTCAGTAGCACATACACTAAAAATAGGATTAGGGTGGGGATTTATATCTCGGATTGATTACCAACTCAATTCAATGATATGATTTATGATGTTTTTTCAACCCACCTGCAAAGGTTACTATTTTACCTTTCTTTGCCACTTTTATACTTCCGTAGCAAAGCAATTGGATAAAGAAAGGAGAATATAGTAAATGCTAGGAGAGAGTAGAAAACTAAGGAGAAATGCTCAATCTCCCTCCCTGGGAATCAGTGAACTGCATGCCACCTGAGAGCCAAATCCAGCCCATCACCTGTTTTATTGGAAACAGCTTTCCCACGTATCTATCGTCAATGGCAGCCAAACTTAGTGATTGAGACAGAGAGCTAAGGGCCCAAAAGCCAAAAAGAGCCAGCCCTTTGCAGAAAGTCTGCTGACTTCTGCTCTGACTTTTTAGGTTTCACCAATAATATTTGCTGGAGCTTTTACTAGCAGAAAATAGTTTGAAGGATGTCTAGTTCTAGTTTGCAAAGCGTGTCTTCAGACTACTTATGCATTTATGAGACCATGTGATTTTTGCTGCTTAATTCCTTAATTTTTCTGGGAATGTGGAACTCTGTTGTTAAACTAACATCATCGCTCAGTTTCATCAGGATTGAGCTTCGTTCACCTGACTATGTGTGGCTCTTTGCCTCTACTCTGCCCTAAATGGAATCTGTCTTCTAGTGCATGTGTGTGGTGGGTTTTTTATCCTTTTTCCAAATCCTAATTCTCACTACTCATACTCACCCCTTTATAGAATAAAGCCTTTCTACTAGGGGATGATAGTTGATTTCCCCAAATAAAGGAGTGTTTTCCTCATGCCACAAAATACTGGTAAAAATTTATTACAGTGTAAAGAGATGCTACAAATATTTCAAACCTGAGGTTGCTCAGATATGTGAAGAGTGGTACAAACAAAAATGAAACTTCCTTAGTAAAAACTGTAGGATATTGGGCATCTGTTGGCCACCCATATGTCTTTGGAGAAATGTCTGTTCAGGTCTTCTGCCATTTTTTAATTGGATTATTTGGAATTTTTTTTTGTGTTGAGTTGTATCAGTTCTTTATATATTTTGGATACTAACCCTTTATCTGATGTCATTTTCAAATATTTTCTCCATTCCTAGGTTAGTCTTTTAGTTTTGCTGATTGTTTCCTTTGCTGTGCAGAAACTTAACTGTACTGAAATTAAAATTTAAAACAAACTATAGGCATTTATTCTGTCTATAGAACTAAGGTTTCTGTTCCAGACTAGGGAAGGGAGTGATTACTAATCACTCTTATAAAGGTTTTAATTGTGTGAATAACAAACATAGTAGCACAAAAAAAAAATTTTCCCCCAGAAGGTAAGTAGGTTAATAGAAATATTGCCTCATTTGACAAAATCAGGAATTCCAAAGACTGGATTAGAATAGCCTTAAGTGTCCTATGTCCTAATCTCCAGACATTCTGAAATTACCAAAGGATAAAGCTATTTTAGCCTCACTCACATGCACAAATAAACAATTAAATCCTAAATCTAACTGCCCTGAGCAGTCGTTAACATATACTACTTTGCTAGGGACGTCTTGTTCCCAGCATGGGATAATTAGAGCAGATGGTACTCAGGATTTCAGCACATGCTCTTGGCTGGTCCTTATGCTGACTCTCCACTTGTGTCACTTCACAGAAATACCCAGGAATATGGGTACCAATTCCTATCTTCCAGGGGAGACAGTAACCACTCTGAGGCTGTTACTTGCCCCAGGAGACTCCCCATGAATGTCATGGAAGCAGAAATTAAAGTTGGAGCTCTCACTTCATCTGGGAGCCTGTACTCATAATCAAAGAAGTATACACATTTAAAAAATATATTTTATTCATGAGAGACACAGGGAGAGGGGGTGGATACAGAGACACAGGCAGAGGGAGAAGCAGGCTCCATGCAGGGAGCCTGATGTGGGACTTGATCCTGGGACTCCAGGATCATGCCCTGGGCCGAAGGCAGGCGCTAAACCACAGAGCCACCCAGGGATCCCCCAAGTGTACACACTCTTAACATCTAATTACCTACATGGACTCTTCCTCATCTTTATGGAGATATGAACAAATTAAAATTATATATCTAAGGTATCTAATGTTTTAATACAGTATACATTGTATAATAATCACCAAAATCAAGCTGATTAACCTATCCATCACCTGTGTGTGGTGAGAACATTTAAGATCTAATCTCAGCAAATTTCTTTTCTACAGTACAGCACTGGTATCTATCATTACCATGATGTGCATTAGATTCCCCAGGACTTATTCACCCTGTAGCTGGAAGTTTGCCCTCTGACCACCATCTCACATTTCCCCCACACCCAGCTGCTGGCAACCACCTCTCTACTCTGCTTCTGTGAGTTCTGCTTTCTTTCTTTCTTAAGATTTTATTTGACATCACAAGCAGGGAGAGTGGCTGACAGAAGGAAAGGAAGAAGTAGGCTCCCCGCTGAGCAAGGAGCCCGATGCACACTTGATCCCAGGAGCTGAAGGCAGATGCTTCACTGACTGAGCCACCCAGGCACCCTGAGTCCTACTTTCTTAGATGCTTCCTCTGTGCCAGCTGACCCTTCAGACTTGGCACACGAATATACAGATCTAGTCAAGTCCATTAGCTGCCCTCTGCCACAATATTATCATTAGCAATTCATCGTAGCAGAACTCTCTCTGGGATATAAAGGGAAAATTGGAGAATGCAAGGGGGGAAAAACTGTATTAGTTTCTCTAGGCTAATTCATGATAATGGTCTGAGGGGTGCTACCTCTGAACAGTTTTTGAGAGGCACTTCCCATAAATAGGGCATTTGTGATAACCTATCTCCTGTATGCTGAGGAAAAGCTTGTGCCCATGTAGGCCACTTCATCTCTGAAAGCAGTGTTTGAAATACTCAAGAAATCTAAATTGTCACAATGGCATCTCTATGTCCCCCTCTTCCACCAGCACAGAGCCCTTCTGAGTTTCCTTCCATGTATTTTACAATCTTCAATTTCTTTAACCTCTCTCACACAGTAAATTGAAATAATCTTAGCAACCCCTCCCTTAAAATTACATGTAGAAAACAGCAGGTGGAGGGACAGAGAGGAACTAATTACCAGGAACCAGTGTGTGGGTCAAAGGAGCAAAGAGCAGATGCCCTTATTCTTTCACAGGCACCATTTGCTCCATATTTTAAAGAATCCACTCTTCCATCAAAACTCGAGCCCTCAGCTTTGTACTAAGATGAGAGAAGCCAAATTACCCTGTTTTTCCAACTACGGACTGCAGTGGTGTTTCAAGCAGCTAAGCAAGGAAGAGTTTCAGACATTTAAGGAATTGCTCATGGAAAAAGCTTCAGAACTGGCAATGTGCTCCTTTCCATGGGTTGAAGTGAGCAATGCCAATGTGGAACATCTAGCCTCCCTCTTGCATGAGCATTATAAAGAATCTCTTGCCTGGAAAATATCCATTCACATCTTTGAAGAGATGAACCTGTCCACGCTCTCTGAGAAGGCAAGGAAAGAAATGAAAAGTGAGTAAGATTTGGGGCAAATATGGGGGTGGGAAAGAAGGGAGGTGACTTCAAGTTTACATGGGAATGGGGAAGTTATCCTTGTTCCCTAGTTGGGTCCACTTCCATGGCATGAGTCTGAAATGTGAGAAGTCACTTGTTTGTTTTCCTGCCTGGCTGGAAATTAGAGTAGTCTCCAGCCTGTGGAACAGTGAAGGAGAAGAAATGAGTGGATGGACCCTCTACCTGGACAAAATTTCTTTGAAATTTATAGACAGAATTTGGAGTCATAAGTGCTAAGCTTGAGCTCTAGACTTCAACTTGTTCTATGTGTGACTTTGGGCAAATCCATTTTTACTCTGACCCTCGGATCCATATCTTAGAACAGTAACTGTGATGCTTACCTGTGCTGTTGCAGAGATTCAGTAAAATAATGTATATAAAGTGGTTAACAAAGCTTCATTCGTTTATTGAGAATACTATGGTGGTTGTATGGTGGGTGTCTCCCATATTTCTCACCCCAGCTCAAGGAACCCTTCTAAAGACTGACCTTGGGAAGTGGGAGCCGCGGGTGGGGAACATGTCGATTCAGAGCTGGGCAGGAAGTGGGACCGGTGTATGGCGGATGCGGTCATGAAGATAGGTACTGGTTTTGGATTAGGACTTGTTTTCTCACTTACCTTCTTTAAAGAAGAATGTGGCCATTAGCCTTTGGTTCTGGCATGGGATTGGGAATGGCCTACTCCAACTGTCAGCATGATTTCCAGGCTCCATATCTTCTACATGGAAAATATGTCAAAGAACAGGAGTAGTGACTTACACCTGAGAACATCCCAGTGGGAGGAAAAGAGAAATCCTGTTTATTACTCAGGAATACTGAAGTGCCCTGGAGTAAGCTGACATTCTTCTGTAACAATGTTATCAGTAATGCTTTAAACTCCAGCATACTGTTTATGTATTTGAAGGGAAGTCTGTTTCTTGTTTTGTATTTTCTCTGGAAATTGCAAGGAGGTGGTCTTAAAGGAAATAAATTAAAAATAGGCAGCCCCCCCCCCCAAAAAAAAAGACTGACCTTGTCAGACTGCCGGTGTCCCTATTATAGCAATGTACTCAGATCAAATTGTGTGATGAGCTTAGGGTATGTAGGAGAAAGGTAGTGTGGGGAAAATAGCTCTCTTTTATCAGGAGAAATTCTCCTGTTCTGTGGACAGAACTTAGAGTCCCAAGGGTGAGCAGTCAGACTGGCCCCAAAGACTACAGGGTCCCAAGGGTGAGCAGTCAGACTGGCCCCAAAGACTACAGGTATGACATTCCTAGATGTAACTCAGCATCTACAGCTGCAAGGGACCATAAGAGAAGCCATCTCTTCTGAGCTTTTTTTAAAAAAAAAAAAAAAAAACCTGTATGGGGAACATGTTGATATTACTCACAGGAAATGAGGGTTATAAAATTAAAATGATAGCTGATATTTACTGAGTCAGTACTCTAGGTGAGGTACTATGTTGAAACTGCTACAATGAAGTCCCAAACCCAGCCAATGAAATAGGTTTCCTACGGCAGAACTAAAACAGAGGTTCTACCAAGTTATAAAACCTAACCAAGTTCATGAGCTAGTGGGTGACAAAGATGAGATTCACTATTTAACATATATTTACATTTTCATGGGTAATGTACCAAAGATTTCTAGCTCCCAGTGCAGAAGGGAAGAGGGATTGATGGCAATTTTCTTTTTAAATGGTGTAGATAAACAATTTCCTCTTTAAGTGGTCCCTATTCCAGACCAGAGTGAAGACTAGACTCCCTTTCTAGAAGAAGTGAAGTTCAATCGAACAAATATTAAACAAAGAAGCTAGCCAAGCTAACTGGACATGGTAGAGAATAACATGATGAGCAGCAGAAATAGCATTATGAAGGCTTTTAGCAAAGAGTGTGGTTAGACCATGAAGAACAGGAGGGAACAAGTCAAGAGATTTTTTTTGGGGGGGGGGGACTACAAAGCCAACAACACAGAATCTTAACTTTAATAGAAAAGCATAAACAATTCATTTATAAAGGGGTGGGGGATAAAAATAATCTAGTTGGCATTTCAGCATTGTTGCTGAAGTGCTGCGTGGTCCAGAAAGAGTCCTGAGTAGAAGTGGAAAGACAAGCTATGAAGCCATTCTAGTATCCCACGGAGAAATAGAGGTGTCTTGGGCCAGGGTGGCAGTGGCCTTTAGAAATGTAATTGGAATAGGTTTCAAAAGCAGACACAACAGTTTTATAGGACTTAATGCAGAGAGAGGATAGGCCATCAGCGATGGCGCCTGTGATTCTGGCATGAAAAAGTGGGTAGACGAGGTTCTACTATCTCACCCCAGGAAATACAGGAAGAAATGTTTTGCAACAACTAGACGAGAGAAAGAATGATTAGTGTTAGAACTCCTGAGTTGAACACCTCTATTTGGATAATTCACAGGCCTCTAGAGAGTACTTAACTAGTTGAAGTTCCAAGAAAGACACTGAGAATGACTCTTGAAAATGAACTCCTGATAACTGTAATATACTGCCTTGTCATGTGAATTACCCAAAGTCATATAGCAAAAATGGAACTAGAATTTACCAGTTCAAGCTCCAAGCACACTTTATGACAAATCTTTGCTGCTTCTCTGTACTGATGGTACTGGAGGATCTGACTCCACTCTCTCCATTATCAGCTAGTCATGGAATTAACTGTGCGATCCTGAGGCTTTCTTGATTCCCCTCAGTAATTTGGGCAGGAGATGTTCTCATCTCTAGTCTCAGTAACTGTTATGCCTTTATTGAGACTAATATGTCCTCTCCTTGTTTTTGCAGAATATTCACTGACTGAAATGCCAGAAAATTCTACATCAAAGAAGAATGACCAAGAACCAAACATGAAAGAAGGGCCAGGTCAGTGTGAATGTGGTGGAAAAATGGATGTGTCGAAAGCCACATGGGACTAGTTAGTGACATGTCCAGGACTGGAACTTGACACCTGATAATCCAGTGTTCTTTCTAGTTTAGCATCCTGTTGTTAGCTGGTTGTATGGGTTCTGAGTACCTAGAAATCAGTCTTTCTTATTCTAAGTCCAAGAGAGTTCTGTGATCTTAAAGCTTTCTTACAACTTTGGGTTCCCATCTTCAGTTTGGGCATCTTCAAGACCTTAAAACTTATACTTCAGTGGAAGAAAAGGGAGAGCAACAAAAGGGGTCAAAGCAGTGAAGACAAACATAGAGGGAAAGATGTAGGCTTGCATAGTCGGCATGCATTCCCCACTGTTACTCACGCTACCACTTGTATATTGCTAATCTTCTGGCATAGGCATTGACCATGAAGTTTAATACCTCAAAAGGATCAGTGTCAACCTTGTGTTGGGCAGCTTGGTCCAGGCTGTGTATAGGAAAGCTCCCTTCAAAACTAAAGTCTGAAATAGCCAAACTGTGGAAGAAGCCTTGGTGTCCATCGAAAGATGAATGGATAAAGATGTGGTCTATATATACAATGGAATATTGCTCAGCCATTAGAAATGACAAATACCCACGATTTGCTTCAACGTGGATAGAACTGGAGGGTATTATGCTGAGTAAAGTAAATCAATTGGAGAAGGACAAATATTATATGGTCTCATTCATTTGGGGAATATAAAAAATAGTGAAAAGGAATAAAGGGGAAAGGAGGGCAAATGAGTGGGAAATATCAGAGAGGGTGACAGAACATGAGAGACTCCTAAGCCTGGGAAACGAACAAGGGGTAGTGGAACAAGGGGGAGGTGGGCGGGAAGATTGGGTGACTGGGTGACGGGCACTGAGGGGGGCACTTGACAGGATGAGCACTGGGTGATATGCTATATGTTGGCAAATCAAACTCCAATAAAAATATGCAAAAAAGTAAAGTCTGAGAAATTGATGAGTCAGAGTCTCATACTACCAGAAGTTATAAATTGTTCCAATTTTTATGTAAATGTGGGCTTAGCGGGGTAGTCCTATATATCATCTTTCTGGGGATACAATTATGTCTTATGCATTTATAGATCACTAAGTAGGGAAGTAGCAATGGTATGGAATAAAGACACTGCCTGGCTAATCTTGGTAGTGGGACCAAAACTGACAACAGCAGGGGTCTTACCCTGCCATATTGGGGAAAGTCCTCTAAATTACCATTGTACACAAGAACTACCACTTGTAGAGACCTTATGGGTCAAGCATAGTGCCATACGCTTTAATCTCCTAAATCTCTGGTGTGATGAGCACTGGGTGCTATACTATATGTTGGGTAATTGAATTAAAGAAAAAAGAATAATCTCATAAATCTCAACAGGATCCTGTGTGGTAGTAACTGTAATTCCAATTGTCCAGCAACAAAACAGATCCAGAGGCTAAAGAATATGCCCAAACCCTACGGGTGTAGACACACTAAACACTGCTTTATCTGTATGCCAGAAGTTTTGGGATGTTGTTAAATACCCACATTATGTCTTGTGGCCCATCTTGGAGAAAGTTACATGTGCGTTCCAGGAGACCATGCATTTTTCTGTTATTGGTATTATTGGTTTTCTATATCTGTTTTCACTATTTTTTGATATCAGTAAATGGCACTGTTATCCACTGGGTTATTCATTCCAAAAGCCTAGTCCCTTTTTAATCTTAGACTTTTTTTCTCTACTTTCCATCCAATGAATCAAAATCCTATAGCTCTACATCTAAAGTATGACCCATTTCTATGTTTTTCTATCCATATCCTGTATGCAAGAATCATTACCTTTGAAGCTCTTATCTGTTTCTGCTCTGCTTATATGCAATCAATTTGCCACACAATAACCAAAGTGATCTTTTAGAAATTTACATCTAATAACTTGACTCCTTTGCTTCAAAATGCTTAAGTCGTTTTCTGTTATATTTTTGTTCATTTATTGTATTATTTTTTTTTTTTTACAATTTGCAACAAACACCACCTTATGACTATTCCTTAAATACCATAAGGTCATTCTCACATCCCCTAAGTCAAATATGTACTTAGTCATGTTAAGGAACTAATTTTTATTTTTTATTTATTTATTTTAATAATAAATTTCTTTTTTTATTGGTGTTCAATTTGCCAACATACAGAATAACACCCAGTGCTCATCCTGTCAAGTGCCCCCTTCAGTGCCCGTCACCCATTCACCCCCACCGCCCCCCCTCCCCTTCCACCACCCCTAATTCGTTTCCCAGAGTTAGGAGTCTTTATGTTCTGTCTCCCTTTCTGATATTTTCTACCCATTTCTTCTCCCTTCCCTTCTATTCCCTTTCACTATTATTTATATTCCCCAAATGAATGAGAACTAATTTTTAATAAGCAGGCACGATGGTTATTCTTGATAAGTTGTACACACCAGAGGCTGTGCTATTTCTCTACCAAAACACCCAATTTTATCTTCAGAGCAACTCCACAACATAAGAACCATTATCCCAGTTTTATAGGTGAACATACAGAAGCCTGTAAACCCAGCAAGTTAACTAAGACCTCACAAGCAGAAAGCGACAGAATTCCCACTTAAATCCTGTGTCTAACTCCGGACCCTCGGTTCTTATCCACCACGTTCTATCCCTCATTTTAATGACTGCCTAAAGGTCTCCAAAGAATTAAAAGCAAAAATGAGACCAGAACCTCATATCTTCTGACTTTTGAATCAAGTGCTCATTTTATAGTTAATCTCTCTAGCTGAGCCAGCGGCTGCCATATTTCAAACTGGTCCTGAGATGTGGGTCTGTACCATCTCTGATTCACATACTCATATATGAGTGGGGGAGTTTATTCTTCCCTCTCTTTTTTACAGAAACTTCTCAAGCTATAGAACAAGATTGTGCCAGAGCAGCAGAGACAAAAGAACAAGGTAAAGAAAACTGATTCACTTTGTTTTTTTTCATCCTGGAATAGAACTCGGTGAAAACCAGTCTATGGAGTTTGCCTGGCAGAGGAGTCCACTGCCCCTTTGCTAATCCACATTTGTCTCTGATGCATCAGCCTCTTCCCCAAGAGCTCCTAGAATCATCACCAAGGACAGTCATGTATGCTCACTGTGATCATCTACAGTCACTGGGTATGAAGATAAATTCCAAAGACCTGTGATTCCAGTGAACTTGGGCATCAAGCACAAGCTCATTTGATAGGCACTAAATATAGAGATGAGTAGTCAAGCACTTCGTTCAAAATTACTTGGCTAGTGGTGATCTTTTTTTCTCCATTCTGTCAACCTTTGTTTTGTGAATACCTACCATTTAAAGAACTGTGACAGGAACACAGTGGTAAAATATCTATATATGGCCATGTAGAGTTATATGTTAACTAAAAATACAAAATGAAGATGAGATACCAGGTTCCATGATTTTTTTTTATAAATTAATTTTTATTGGTGTTCAATTTACCAACATACAGAATAACACCCAGTGCTCATCCCGTCAAGTGTACCCCTCAGTGCCCGTCACCCATTCACCCCCACCCCCCACCCTCCTCCCCCTCCACCACCCCTAGTTCATTTCCCAGAGTTAGAAGTCTTTATGTTCTGTCTCCCTTTCTGATATTTCTCACACATTTCTTCTCCCTTCCCTTATATTCCCTTTCGCTATTATTCATATTCCCCAAATGAATGAGAACATACACTGTCCTTCTCCGGTTACTGTGGCCAAGTTCAAAAAGGGTGTTGCCTGAGTTCTTCTCTGGGATTTTGATGGAATCTTGTCTCACATTTAGATCTTTCATCTATTTTGAGTTTATCTTTGTGTATGGTGCAAGAGAGTGGTCCAGTTTCATTCTTCTGCATGTGGATGTCCAATTTTCCCAGCACCATTTATTGAAGAGACTGTCTTTCTTCTAGTGGATCGTCTTTCCTCCTTTATCGTATATTAGTTGAGCATAAAGTTCAGGGTCCACTTCTGGGTTCTCTGTTCTGTTCCATTGATCTATATGTCTGTTTTTGTGCCAGTACCACACTGTCTTGATGAACACAGCTTTGTAGTACAACCTGAAATCTGGCATTGTGATGCCCCCAGATATGGTTTTCTTTTTTTAAAATTCCCCTGGCTGTTTGGGGTCTTTTCTGATTCCACACAAATCTTAAAATAATTTGTTCTAAGTCTCTGAAGAAAGTCCATGGTATTTTGATAGGGATTGCATTATACATGTAAATTGCCCTGGGTAACATTGACATTTTCACAATATTAATTCTGCCAATCCATGAGCATGGAATATTTTTCCATCTCTTTGTGTCTTCCTCAATTTCTTTCATAAGTGTTCTGTAGTTTTTAGGGTATATTTTGAGAACCATTTTAATGGTAAATGGTTCTCCAACCTTTTATTTTCAGGTTGTAGGTGTCCTTCTGTCAGGTTCCATGATTATATGACATGGCAAACAACCTGTCAAGGAAGTGACAGTAGGCTTTCCTGAAGAATATTACTTGTGTCTTTTTTATTGAGCTATAATTCATGTTCCAAAAAGCTCACCCTTTTAAAGTGTACAGTGGGGTTTTTTTGTATGTTCACATAGTTATGCAACTATCACCATTCTCTTATTCTCTTCCCAAATAAGAAATTCCAAATTTTTCTCTTCCTGAAAGAAATTCAAAACCCATTATCACTTTACATCTCTACTTCCCCAAGCCTATGCAACCACTAATAGACTTTCTGCCTCTACAAATTGGCCTAATCTGGACTTATAGATAGATAGATAGATAGATAGATAGATAGATAGATAGATAGATGACATCCTACAAATGTGGCCTTTCATGACTGGCTCCTTTCACTTAGTATAATGTTCATCCATGTTGTAGCGCATACCAGCACTTGGCTCATTTCTACTATCCTATTGTGTAGATCACATTTTCTTTATCTATGCATCAGACAATGGGCATTTAGGCTCTCTCTGCTCTCTGGCTATCATGAATAATGCCACTATGAACATTCATGTACAAGGAAGTGCTGATGGACAGAAGTGCTTTGATTTCATTTTTTAAAAAAGATTTTATTTATTCATGAGAGACACAAAGCGAGAGAGGTAGAGACATAGTCAGAGGGAGAAGCAGGCTCCAGGCAGTGAGCCCGATGTGGGACTTGATCCAAGAACTCCAGGATCTCACCCTAAGCTGCAGGCAGACGCTCAACCACTGAGCCACCCAGGCATCCCTAGTGCTTTGATTTCTGAGATATTTAATACAAGTTGGTGTTTGGGGTTTCAGGGGGGAAAAAAAGATTCAGGAATGCTTCCTGACTTTCTAATTAGACAACCTGAAGGATGGTGATGCCAAGAGTCAGTGATTTATGTGCCTTTCAAGCTAGGCTTTTATTCTACCTCTATGACCCAACCTATGTTAGCCTTAGGTGTGTTATGTAATCTTTCACTGGACAAAAGCTTGAAGACCTAGTGGTTGCCAGAATTGTCCATTTTCATTTGGGATGAGTAATAATAAATGCCAGTATTAACGACCTCTCAAGAATAATTGCCACAGACCAGGTGCTGTTCTCCACATCTTACAACTATGCTGTGGCATCCTACAGCAGTCTCATAGGGGAGGTATTAATATCCCCATTTTGTAGATGAACAAACCACCATTGAGGGCAAGATGGGGCTAAAATTAGGCTTATGGAGAAAGCAATAAGGCAAACATCAGTTCATAGGAAGTTCATAAAGAGAAACTTTTGTAATTATCACTTATAGGAAATGTATAAGAAGGAATTTCTGGTTGGAGGTAAAACATGAGTTTTTGATGCATTGAATTTGAGGTCCCTGTGACATGTTAAGGTGATGAGTTTGACACATGAGCCTGGGACCTTGGGAAAGAAGTCAGCACCACAGACAGAGATTTGGAACTCTTGGTCACAGGTGTGACACTTGAGTCCGTGGGAGGAGAAGTGGCCAAGGAAGACCTGAATTCAACTGCAGGCTCACCTTTCTGGGGCTGCCTTACCTCTCTGAAAACCTACAGCTCAGGAACATAGTCTGTCCTTTGAGGGTAACGTATTGGTTTGAGCTCAGCAAAAAGACGTTTTTCATATCTCAAGATCTTCTTCCTGTGGTTTTGATACAGGTCTCTTAATATCTGTCTCTGATACAGGATAATGGAGTTTAAGATTTAGAACTTCTCTGTAGAGATTTTATGTACAGATAGCAATTGCCTTATACACAAGAGAATCTTGCTGACTTTTATAAAATTAATAGTACTACCAGCAAATACAAGGACCCAGGATTGGAGGGTTGGGTTTTTTTTTTTGTTTTTGTTTCCATATTATTGAGTACCTAGCAGATGTCAGAGATTATTGAAGAGAGGCTGGAGGTATGGAGGTAAAGTGCTTTCATAGGACTTAAATCACAATCTAGGAACTAGACAATAATATGCATAAAAGAATTACTGTTTATGAGAAGTGCTATGATTAAAATGTGAAAGAATTATGGTTTGTAATGACGATAGTGGCTATTGATCATTTTTGCTAGGCCCCATGCTAATGAATTTTGAAGGCACATTCTCCCTTAAAGGTTTATTGCAACACTTTAAGATATGATGTTAATCCCATCTCAGAGACGGGGAAACTGAGGCTCAACTGACCCTGTACAGTAGAACTTCGAATTTCAAGTAGGATCTGGCTGACTTAAAAGGCCAGGATTGCCTTTTTATGCAGAGCTGGATTCCCCATGACTGGAGGTGTTTCTCCACAGCAACCTAGAGATGCACGCCTGTCCTGCAAGCCTAGAATTCAGGGCCACAGTGCACACATCCTCAGCTTCCCTAAGCCTGTCTGTCTTTCAGAGACCACATAGGAGTGTTTGTTATATATTATTCATTTAACAAATACTGGAGTGTCCACAGAGTGCCAGGCATTATCATAAATAATGAAGACATGACAGTAAATAACAAAGTCCCTGCATAGTCTACTGAGGGGAGTAGGATAGTAAGCCAAAAAAAAAAAAATGTAATGTGTCATGTAGGTAGTAAATGCTGAGAATAAAGATCAGGCTAAAGTGACAAATACTTATTTTGTAGGATATTCATAAGCATTGAGGAAGTGATCTTTGAAGGATGGAACTTGTTATCAGTACATTGCTAGGAAGGAACAAAAAAACCATGTGGGTAAACTGTCTGACTTAGGATCCTCTGATTCTACATCCAGGATTTGGGGTTTGTTCTGTTTGGGTTTTTTTCCCTAAATTCCAGACTTTCTTCAAACATTGTCTCCTGTTTTTCTTCTCCCTTCCCCTGTCCAACTTGGGCCGTGGAGGTAACACATGGAACTACAAGGACTATGTGATGACAAAATTTGCTACAAAGTTAGATGAATACCATGGTTCTGAAAACTTTGCCTCAAACTATCCAGAAATGCAAACATTGCTTGGTGCTTTTAATCCAGACCAGAGGGGCTTCCAGCCTCGCACTGTGGTTTTGCACGGAAAATCAGGAATCGGGAAATCAGTTTTGGCCAGAAGGGTCCTGCTGTCCTGGGCACAGGGTAAACTCTACCAGGGCATGTTTTCCTATGTCTTCTTCCTCGGTGCCAGAGAAATGCATTGCATGAAGGAGGGCAGTTTTGCAGAGTTGATTTCCAGGGAATGGCCAGACTCCCAGGTCCCAATGATGGATATCATGTCCCAACCAGAAAGGCTCTTGTTTGTTGTTGATGGCTTTGATGACCTGGACCTTGCCTTCAAAGACAATGACCCGAATCTCTGTGAAGACTGGACAGACAAACAACCCACATCTGTTCTGATGCATAGTCTGCTGAAGAAAGTCCTGCTCCCTGAGTCCTCCCTGATGATCACTGTCAGAGACACGGGCATAGAGAAGCTAAAATCCATGCTCACATCCCCCCGTTACCTATTAGTCAGGGGCATCTCAGTGGAGAAAAGGATTCAGTTGCTTTGTCAGCACACAAAGAATGAGCATCTAAAGACACAAGTCTTGCATTCAGTGGTAGACAACCATCTGCTATTTGAGGAGTGCCAGGCTCCCATCTTGGGGTCACTCATCTGTGAGGCTCTGAATCTGCAGGAGGCATCAGGAAAGAGCCTTCCCCCTACCTGCCAAACTCTCACGGGCTTGTATGCCACTTTTGTGTTCCATCAGCTCACTCCACGAGATGCATCCCGGTGCTGTCTCAACCAGGAAGAGAGGGCCATCTTGAAGAACCTGTGCCTAATGGCTATGCGGGGAGTGTGGAACAGGAAGTTTGTGTTTTACAGAGATGACCTGAGTGTTCACAGGCTCAGGAAGTCGGAGCTCTCTGCTCTGTTTCAGATGAACATCCTCCTCCAAGATGGCAGTCATGAAAGGTGCTACACGTTCCTGCATGTCAGCCTCCAGGACTTCTGTGCTGCCCTGTATTATATTCTAGAAGGACTAGAAACGGAGTGGGATCCCTACCCTGTGTTCATGGAGAACATGAGGAGTTTGGTGGAGTTCAAACAGATCAGCTCCAATGCCCACTTGCTCCAGATGAAGCGTTTCTTGTTTGGCCTCATGAGCAAAGAGGTGATGGGAGCTCTAGAGGTCCTGCTTGGATGTCCTGTCCCCCTGGTGATGAAGCAGGGGCTTCTGTGCTGGATCTCTTTACTGGGTCAGCAGGCCAGCACTGCCACCCCACCAGACTCCCTAGATGCCTTCCACTGTCTTTTTGAGACTCAGGATGATGAATTTGTTCTCTTGGCATTGAACAGCTTCCAGGAAGTGTGGCTTCCCATAAACCGGCGTATGGACTTGATGGTGTCCTCTTTCTGCCTTCAGCGTTGCCAGTATTTGCAGAAAATTCGGATAGATGTCTGTGAAAGCTTCTCAAAGGATGAATTCACTGAGGCATATCCCCTAGCTCCCCAAGGGTGAGTCCTTTACCTCTGTCATTTTATTCTTTTTTCTTCCCGTATTTATGGAGTTATAATCAAATAAAAATTGTACGTATTTAAGATGTACAACTTGATAAAACAATCCCCACGATTAAGCTAATTAGCATATCCATCACCTCACCTACACCTCCCACACATTTTTGTGTGTGTTGCTAGTACTTAAGACCTATCCTTCTAGCAAATCATAAATATACGATACAGGATTGTTAACTGCAATCACATTGCTGTACATTAGATATCTATCTTGAGTAACTGAAACTCTGTACCCTTTGACCAACATTGCTGCTTTCCTGCTTCCCAGCCACGGGCAAACCACTGTCTTCTGCCTCCATGAGTTGGCCTATTTTAGATTCTGTGAGATCATATGCGTCTTCGTGTTACTGGCTTATTTCACTTAGTATAATGTCCTTTAGGTTCATTCATGCTGTTTCAAATGGCAGGATTTCCTTATTTTTTAAAGCTGAGTATGGGCAGCCCGGGTGGCTCAGTGGTTTAGTGCTGCCTTCATCCCGGGGTGTGATCCTGGAGACCCAGGATCGAGTCCCATGTCAGGCTCCCTGCATGGAGCCTGTTTCTCCCTCTGTGTCTTTGCCTCTGTGTGTGTGTGTGTGTGTGTGTGTGTGTCTCATGAATAAATAAATAAAATCTCTTTAAAAAGAAAGCTGAGTAATATTTGCTGACGTGTGTGTGTGTGTGTGTGTGTGTGTGTGTGTGTGTCACATTTTCCTTATTCATGCTTTGGCCATCAGTGGACACTTAGGTTGTTTCCATATCTTGGCTGTTGTGAATGACAGTGCACACATCTCTTCAGGATCCTGATTTCAGTTCTTTTGTATAAATGCAATTATTAGATCCTGTGGTAGCCCTATTTTTAATTTTTTGAGGAACTTCCATACTGTTTTCTATAGTGGCTGCACCATTTTACATTCAAGGGAGAGCTAGAATTTCAAGGCAAACCTGATCCAAGAGCTGGTGGCTCTATATCATCTTCATACATTCCCCCTGGCATATAAAAAAATATTCAGGAGACAGGGTGGGTGTGAGAGTGCACAGTCACAGCACAAAGCGACAATATTAAATTGCCCGGAGAACCTCTAAAGCCATCCCTATCTTGCCATAATAGACTTATTTTTCTCTTCTGACACTGCTATGGCAGTTGCTTCTGTTAAACTCCATCCTGTGGAAGTGTTTTTCCTTCTCCAATATAGGATGCCGATTAAGACCCTTGCTGATGAGTGGTGGGAAAGTCTCTGCTTGGTGCTTAGCACCCACCCGAGTCTGCAGCAGCTCGACCTGAGTGGCAGCATCCTGAATGAATGGGCCATGAAGACCCTCTGCATCAAGCTGAGACAGCCAACCTGTAAAATACAGAATCTGATGTAAGGCTGCCCTGGTACATGCCCCTTTGCATGGCTGTTACCACACTCCTGTCCCACCCATGAGAAAAGAACCATCTAAGCATTTGTAATCAGAGGGGATAAGTGCTGTGGAAGATACAGGAGACAAATTCCCAAAAGCATGCAATAGGGAGTAACCAAAGACCCTGTGAAGAGATTATTGAGGTGGGTTCATTTACTCTAGGTATTGAAGGATGAATAGGAGTGCTAGTAGGGGCAAAGGTAAGGGGGGGCTCCTTACAGGCAAATAGGTAGAGCATGAAGCCATTGCAAGATCAAAGTGCTAGACTTTGGCTTTAAATCAGTTCTTAATGCTTTCTGGTTCATTAACGTAACAAATATTTGAATTCACAGTAAGTGCCTGGGTCTGTGAGAGACCTCAGGAGTAGATGAAGGGCTAGTTCTGCAGACAAAGCTTCTATTCTGGACTCTTTCCTACAAGACCAAGAGAAAAGCACGTGACACCCAAGACTAGAGCAAGTCAACTTCTCCATGCAAACATCTTCCTTTTCTTGCCACTTCCATCTCCAAAGTAGTTTTCATAAGCTGCACCGTGCCAGGGAGCCTGGCAAGGCCAGAGTCTTTGCAGTGTTCTGTTCTCCTCCATCCTGCCCCAAACCCCTCTGTCGGCTTTACCTTAGCATTTTCCCCCAGGAACCCCCCTTCCCATCAGCTGTCCCTGCTCTCAGCTCCTGCTACACAGTGAGGAAACTGAGTCTGTGTCATCACTATATCGTAATACAGCACTAAGGCATCATAATGGTCACAAGATTCGGACATTGTAAGGGTTTTAAGTAAATTCCCTAATGCCTCTTCAACTTTCTAAACTTCCTATTTCCCTAATTAGCTTTCACATCTCCTAAACTTTCCATGCCATTATATCTATATATTGGCAAATAAGTTTTTTTTCCATCCAAGTGGTGTTACATTATACACAGTCTTCTGACATTTGACTTTCTTCAGCCTGAACTTAACCACATCTGTTTATAGTTCTGTTATTTTTTTTAAGTAATCTCTACACTCAGCATGGGGCTCAAACTCATGACCCCTGAGATCAAGAGTTGCATGCCTGGGGCATCTGGGTGGCTCAGTGGTTGAGTATCTGCCTTTGGCTTAGGTCATGATCCCTGGATCCTGGGATGGAGTCCCGCATCAGGCTTCCCACAGGGAGCCTGCTTCTCCTTCTGCCCATGTCTCTGCCTCTCTCTCTGTGTGTCCCTCATGAATAAATAAATATATTTTTAAAAAGTTGCATGCTCTTCAGAATGAGCCAGCCAGGTGCCCCTATAGCTCTGTTCTTAATGGACTGACCATATTTCATTCTCCAGCATAACTCTTATTCAGCTCTTTAAGTGTCCCCCCATAAGATCAGGCTCCGTGAGAATATGAAGCATCAGTGTCACTATTTCCAGTGCCTGATGCATCATAGATGCTCAAGTATTTGTTGCTTTAAAATTAAATAACTGTAGAGTGCCTGGCTGGCTCAGTCGGTGGAGCATGCAACTCTTGATCTCGGGGTCATGGGTTTGAGCCCCATGTTGGGTGTAGAGATCACTTTCAAAATTTTTAAAAATCTTTAAATAAATGGGGGATCCCTGGGTGGTGCAGCAGTTTGGCACCTGCCTTTGGCCCAGGGCGCGATCCTGGAGACCTGGGATCAAATCCCACGTCGGGCTCCCGGTGCGTGGAGCCTGCTTCTCCCTCTGCCTATGTCCCTGCCTGCCCCCCCCCTCTCTCTCTCTCTCTGTGTATGACTATCATAAATAAATAAAAATTAAAAAATCTTTAAATAAATGCAAATAGTGAAAATAAGAGATTTGGGATGGGAGAAGAGGGGAAAAGAAAAAACTGGGATACAGCTATCACCTGTGTCTCATGCATATTTCCTGCTTTCTCTTGTGTAGATTTAAAGGTGCACAGGTTACCCTGGGTCTTCGTCATCTCTGGATCACTCTCATAACCAACCGTAATATTAAATGCCTGAACTTGGAAAGCACTCACCTGAAGGATGAAGATATGATGATGGTGTGTGAAGCCTTAAGACACCCAAACTGCTTGCTGGAATCTCTGAGGTATGTTCTGCTTATGGCTTTTATGGCTTTGGTTTTGCCTTTCTTGTCTTTCCTTTTTAAAGAATTGTTCACAGCAAGTTGCAAATGTATCAGAGAAGAGGACAATCTGGAGATGGTGGTGGTGGTAGTACAGCAGCGTGTATGTACTTCATGCCACCCTTCTGGGTACTTACAAATGATCAAGGTGGTAAACTTTGTTATGCATATTTTACTACAAAAAAAGTAAATTTCAAAAAGGTATTCAAATTGGCAAAGAAGTCAAACTCTCCCTCTCACAGATGACATAATACTGTATGTAGAATACCCAAAAGACTCCACCCCAAGATTGCTAGAACTCATACAGCAATTCGGCAATATGGCAGGATACAAAATCAATGCTCAGAAATCAGTAGCATTTCTATACACTAACAATGAGGATGAAGAAAGAGAAATTAAGGAGTCAATCCCATTTACAATTGCACCCAGAACCATAAGATACCTAGGAATAACTAAAGAGGTAAAGGATCTATACCCTAAAAACTACAGAACACTTCTGAAAGAGATTGAGGAAGACACAAAGAGATGGAAAAATATTCCATGCCTATGGATTGGAGGAATTAATATTGTGAAAATGTCTATGCTACCCAGGGAAATTTACACATTCAATGCAATCTCTATCAAAATATCATGGACTTTCTTCAAAGAGTTGGAACAAATCATCTTAAGATTTGTGTGAAATCAGAAAAGACCCTGAATAGTCAGGAAAATATTGAAAAAGAGAACCAGAGCCAGGGGCATCACAATGCTGGATTTCAAGTTATACTACAAAGCTGTGGTCATCAAGACAGTGTGGTCCTGGCACAAAAACAGACACATAAACCAATGAAACAGAATAGAGAACCCAGAAATGGGCCCTCAACTCTATGGTCAACTAATATTCGACAAAGCAGGAAAGACTATCCACTGGAAAAAGGACAGTCTCTTCAATAAATGGTGCTGGGAAAATTGGACAGCCAAGTGCAGAAGAATGAAACTGGACCGTTCTCTTACACCATACACAAAGATAAACTCAAAATGGATGAAATACTAAATGTGAGACAAGAATCCATCAAAATAAAAAACAAACAAACAAAAAAGGAATCCATCAAAATCCTAGAGGACAACACAGGCAACACCCTTCTTGAACTTGGCCACAGCAACTTCTTGCAAGAAACATCTATGAAGGCAAGGGAAACAAAACCAGAAATGAACTATTGGGACTTCATCAAGATAAGAAGCTTCTGCACAGCAGAAGAAACAGTCAACAAAACTAAAAGACAACCTACAGAATGGGAGAAGATACTTGCAAATGACCTATCAGATAAAGGGCTAGTATCTAAGATCTATAAAGAACTTGTTAAACTCAACAGCAAAGAAACAATCCAGTCATGAAATGGGCAGAAGACATGAACAGAAATTTCACAGAGGAAGACATAGACATGACAACAAGCACATGAGAAAATGCTCTGCACCACTTGCCATCAGGGAAATACAAATCAAAACCACAAGGGGTAGTGGAAAGGGAGGTGGGTGGGGGATTGGGGTGACTGAGTGATGGGCACTGAGCGGGGGGCACTTGGTGGGATGAGCACTGAGTGTTATGCTAAATGTTGGCAAACTGAACTCCAATAAAAAAATTTTTTAAAAAAGCACACAATGAGATATCACCTCACACCAGTGAGAATGGGGAAAATTAACAAGACAGGAACCAAGAAACGCTGGAGAGGATGTGAGGAAAGGGGAACCCTCTTGCACTGTTGATGGGAATGTGAACTGGTACAGCCACTCTGGAAAACTGTGTGGAGGTTCCTCAAAGAGTTAAAAATAGAGTGACCCTACAACCCAGCAATTGCACTACTGGGGATTTACCCCAAAGATACAGATGCAGTGAAAAGCCAAGACACCTGCACCCCAATGTTTATAGCAGTAATGTCCACAATAGCCAAACTGTGGATGGAGCCTCAGTGTTCATCAAAAGATGAATGGATAAAGAAGATGTGGTCTATGTATACAATGGAATATTACTCAGCCATTAGAAATGACAAATACCCATCATTTGCTTCGACACGGATGGAACTGGAGGGTATTATGCTGAGTGAAGTAAGTCAATCGGAGAAGGACAAACATTATTTGGTTTCACTCATATGGGGAATATAAAACATAGTGAAAGGGATTATAGGGGAAAGGAGAGAAAATGGGGAAAATCAGAGAGGGTGACAGAACATGAGAGACTCCTAACTCTGAGAAACGAATAAGGGGTAGTGGAAGGGGAGGTGGGCAGGGGGAATGGAGTGACTGGGTGATGGGCACTTGATGGGATGAGCACTGGGTGTTATATGTTGGCAAATTGAACTCCAATAATGGAGTGTAATGGACAGTGTATGTAACTATAGTATAGTGTCAAACTGTGGACACTAACCAACATGTGGATGTCCTCCTGTGTCAGTTTATCACATGTGCAGGTTCATAAAAGCATGCCATCCCCAAGATCCAGAAGTGCCACCACTCTGTTCCCTTTTCCAGCCACACCATCCCTAATCACTGAAAGTAACTGATGTTTCCCATCTCCATAATTTTGTCATGTGGACAATGCTTTATCAGTGGAATCACACAGTATGTCACTACGCTCAGATTGGCTTGTTTCCCTTTTTATTTTTTTTAAGATTTTATTTATCTGACAGTACAAAAAGGGGAGCAGCAGGCAGAGGGAGAAGGAGAAGCAGGCTCTCCAGTGATCAAGGAGCCTGACTCAAGGTCCAACTTGAGCCAAAGGCAGATGCTTAACCAACTCAACCACCCAGGTGCCCCTCTCTCTTTTTTAATTTGCATTTTTTGAGAGAGCACAGCAGGAGTGGGGGGAGGTGAGGGAAATGGAGAGAATCTTAAGCAGAGTCCATGCTTAGTGTGGAGCCTGACATGGAGCTCAATCTCATGACCCTAAGGTCATGACCTGAGCCAAAGAGTCAGATGCTTAACAAACTGAGCCACCCAGACACCATGAGATTGGCGGTTTTCAATCAGCAAATGCCCTCAGATCTATCATCTAGCCTGTTCTGTGTATCACATTCATTTTTAGTGCTGAGTACTATTCAATAGGATGGATACACCACATTTGGTGTAGCCATTCACCTGTCCAGGGATGTTTTGGTCCTTTCCAGTTTGGGGCTATTACCACAGTTCTGTAGATCCTAAGCAAGTGTTTTGCCAATTAGATTAACTTGGGCTAAAGACACTGCTACTGGATGCTTTTGGTATGCTGAGACAGAGAAACATGAGCTCTGTTTTAAGCTTTAATTGACACACAGCAACTGTGAAAGAGTATTTTGCTTTGCACCACATGAATATTTTTGCTCTGTAACCTGTGAGCTGCCATCCCAAGCCAGGTGCCTACCCTCATCGAGATGACAAGATGACTTTCTAGAGAACAAAACAAATACCATATGGCCTCACATATGGAATTAAAAAAAAAAATATGAACTCATGCCTGGGTGGCTCAATTGGTTAAGCATCTGCCTTCAGCTCAGGTCATGGTCCCAGGGCCCTGGGGATTGAGCCCCACGTCAGGCTCCCGGCTCAGTGAGGAGCCTGCTCCTCCCTTTCTATCTGCTTCCCTCCCCGCTGCTCCTTGTTTGTGATCTCATTCTCTGTCTCTCTTTCTCTCTGTCTCTCAAAATTTTTAAAAAGCTAAACTCAAAAACAGTAAAATGGTGGTTATCTGGGACTAGAGGAGTGGGGGGGGGAATAGAAATATGCTGTTGAAAGGTACAAACTTGCAACTAGTAGGTAAATAGATCCTGGAGACCTAGCACACAGTATAAATATAGACAAAGATATTGTGTTACAAACCTCAAACTTGCTAAGAAACTAGATCTTAATTATTCCCACCACAAAAAAGAAATAATTATGTGACCCAATAGAGGTGCTCGAGAATACTACAATGGCAATCATACTGCAGTATATAAATGTTTCAAATCAATGTGCTTATACCTTAAATGTATACAGTGTTATAGGTCAGATATATTTCAAGTTTTTAAGTGCAAATGTGTGAAATATTGGCTGGTGATCATTGTTATGCATAAAATAATGCTGGATACCATTGCTACACACAAAATAACGCTGGAGGAACACATGTACAAGGGAAATTCATGCCTTGTTTTTAGGCAGATGGGGATTTGGGTAAAATGGGGGTGGGGCAGGCACAGTTAAGTAAGGTTTTGAGACTGGCTAACTCAGAAGAGGGGATGTTCCAGAGACTTAAATGAAAAACTGAACCACATAAAGATATGGGGCTGGGGATGAGGAGGGATGTTACAAACAGAACAACTAGCAAATGCTCAGACCCTGAGCCTGGAGCAGTGTCCAGAAATCAGCAAAAGGGCCAGAGTAGCTGGAGCACAGGGAAATGGGTTGCTCTGGGGAAGAGAGGAGAATGTATTTCACATTGTTTATCTCTGCAGGTTGGATCACTGTGGACTAACCCCAGCCTGTTGCCTGGTGATCTCCCAAATCCTTGTTACATCCATCAGCCTAAAATCTCTCAGCCTGGTAGGAAATAAGGTGACAAACCAGGGCATAAAGCCTCTCTGTGACGCCTTGACAGCCTCACAGTGCACGCTGCAGAAAATGATGTGAGTTGCACTTCTTTCCACCCAGGGTTCCTTTCTCTTAACTGACATGGTCCAAGTGGTGGGGAAGGAGAGAGTGGAATCATTGGATACCTAAGCCAAGGGTTAGAATGGGAGTTCTGACCCTATGGGAGTACCCCAATATTGAGGCATAAAAAAGACCAGTAAATAACATCTGTGTCTTTGCTACCAAACTCTGAACAATATATAAAAGTCTAGGAGAGAACCCAAACTCATAGAACCAGAGAGTAGAATGGCGGCTGCCAGGGGCTGGCAGTTAGGGGAAGAAATGGGGAGAAGTTGGTTAAAGGGTACAGATGTACAGTTAAAGAAGTCCTGGGGATCTAATATACAGCATTCTGCTTATAGTTAGTAATGCTGTGTTGTATACTGGAAAGTTTCACCAATGCCCAAATCCCGGAGAGTCTTAGCTTGTGGTTGGAGTTGCCATCCCTGGCGTCCTTGAGCACCAAGCTCTGTGCTGAGTGTTTATTCCCATTAATGCCAACTTTACAAACAACCTGCTAGGTAGGAATTATTTTTACCTCATTTTCTGATAAGGAAAACAGAATCCAGAAGAAAGGAAATCTCTTACCTAAGGCCATATAGGGAATAAGAGACAAAGCTAAAATATGACCCCTGGGTTGATAAGTAAGGCTTAGAAATCTCCCCCTTGATGACCTACAATCTGGGCAAAGTTGCTTCCCCCACTATTCCCAAAATGTGTCTTGTCAATAACCTACCTCTTTCATGAGGAGTTTGATTCTAAAGTCATAACAAAAATTGAAAACAAAATGGCACAAATTACCCTTTAAAGTCCTGAGGTGGAGGGTGGAGGCAGGAAATCGCATTAGAAGCCAACATATCTTCTCTCCTTCAGTCTATGGGAGAGGGGGAAAAACTTTCCCTCTATCCTCTTAGGTTAAATATCTGAGGCCTGCAAATTAAACTGATGATTGACAGGAGAAAAGGCACACATATTTTATGGGTATTACTTTTTTTTTAATGCATGGAAGCTTCACAGAAAAGATGTGAGAAACCCTAAAAAGTGGTTAGAATCAAGCTTCTATATCATTTTAACAAAGTTATGCTAAACTGTGGAGAAGTGACTAGACAAAAGGAGTTTGAGGCTTTTAGGGGCTGATATATTGTGGGTAGGCAACTAGGAAATATGAGGGGATCTAATGGTTAGGTAAAAGTTATATGATAATTCATCTCCATGTCATGTCCATTTCCAGTGACAAAAGTCATTCTCTTGTACCAAAGAGGGGGGATACATGTACAAGGGAAATTCATGCCCTGTTTTTAGACAGATGGGAAAGAGCAGAGAGCCCTTCCTGTGTCTGTTTTTCCTTAGTTGCTTTCAGCTCAAGATAATCCTTACACTAAAATGGCCTATTTCGGGCTTACATATCCTGACCCCCTTCTAATCTGACCCAGCCAGTATTTCTTCATCCAAACATCTCCATCAGTAAATGGAGTAAATGGTTGCTATATGCACTGCTCTGCACACTTAGATGGAGTTAATTTATTTAACTTTGTCACAATGAGAGTAGTACTATTAGGCTCTTAATTTCAAGTGCTATTGCATGTTAATCTTTGAAAAACAGGTGGAAGGTCACCTTCTAAATAGGAAGGTCCCTAATCTTGGCAACACCTCACACCATAGTACACATGAGGAGCAAAGATACCTGGATGGAGAGCAGGTTGACTTTGTCCATGTGTTTCCCATTATGGGTGATGGCTAATCTAGTCACCCACACCATTTAGACTATTAGGGTTGGGTTTGCAAGTTCAATGCAGACACAGTGTGACCTCAGCATATGTCTGCAAGAGCATGGTCAGCCATGGGGGTGGTAGTTCTTTCCCGTCCCTGCAAGGAGGGAGGGGTAGAACCTTAGGAAAAGACCTTCATCCTTTCTTTCCTGGGGGCTCTCTCCTTGCAGACTGGGGAAGTGTGGTCTCAAGGCTCCCGACTGCCAGGACCTGGCCTCAGCCCTCATCAGCAACCAGAGTTTGACACACCTGTGCCTGTCAAGCAACAGCCTGGGGAGCGAAGGCATGAATCTGTTGGGTCGAGCCATAAAATTCCCCAACTGTGGACTACAGAGGCTGATGTGAGTCCAGCTCACTTCCCTGGGTGGACTGCATTGTTTTGTTACAAAACAGTATGTACCACTTGCCACACACAAAGTAGCAGGAACACAGCTGTCATGATGAAGGTAGCTGATAGGAGCTGCATTCTGTCCCCGCCCATTTCTTCCTTCCATGGAAAATTCTATCTCTGTTCCCATCTTCTTACAGTGAGAAGTCATCCTTCATCCAGATACAGACGTTTCTCGTTGTTTCCTGCAGTTATGTTTTGTAAAGTCACCACAAACACTGACCCACTTCTCCCTGGGTAAACACAGCATTAGGTTCCTGTGAGCCCCTGGTCACATTTTCAACCAACCAGAACCTAACCTTGCTTTGTGCATTTCTGTTTAAAGACTCCTTATTTAATACATAGTGTTGATTTATTGACATTAAACTTGCGGCCAACAGCACCACAACTCATGCCTGAATGAAGCTCATCTATGACGGATCTTCTCCATCCACACAGCACTGCCTTCTTGTTGGAAACACTGGATAGCACTCCAGCTCTGTACATTAGCGCCACATTTTAAACAGCAAAGTCATCAACGAAAACCACAAAAATGCAGAAAACGTGGCAATAACTGGACCATGAAAAGGATACTTATTTATGATGAATTTGAAATGAGGCCAGCCTCAGCTGGGAACATGTGCATTGGGCAGCTCAAATATTTCTCTGCTCTGCCCGTGCACGCATGTCCATGAACAGTCATGAGCACCACGAGTATGGATTTGGAGGGTAGCAAATAAATTTTAGTAAGCAGACAAATGTGCAAACACAGAATCCATGAATGAGGATCAACCATACTCACTGAACACCTGATGTAGGCAAACACATAGTTGGTAGGGATGCACAGACAACCAACGTGGTCTCTGAGTTTACAGAGCTTAGGTTTTGGTAGGGAGAACTGGGTAATTGAGATTTTTAGATGATGGTAATGATGACACAGGGTTGGTAGCCACAGGGGTGATGCTCCACTACTCCAGACAGTACCATGCACATGGCTAGGGGATGCTGTGTACTCTAGCATACAGCAAAATGTCTCAGTAAGTTCTTTAAAAACTACCCCATCGCCAGATTACCCTTCTAGCCTACATCTTTCATCTGAGATCAAAGGATTATTACATCTGTTCCACACTGTCAGCTTGCCTTGCTGGGGTCACTTTGCTTTCAGCCATTTTACCCCATTGACCAATTAGTTCACCAATAACCCTATAAATAATTTTTAAAATTAACATGTTAATGGTATACCTGTAGCCAGAAATTCTGTTAAAGAATATAACTTTAATATACATGTCTACTTTGTGAGTTGCAAGGTGCCTCAGTGAATAAGTGATGAGAAGAGTCTGAGTGGTAGACTGGATAGTGAACCCTCCCCAAGATGTCCATGTCCTAATCCCTGTAAATATGTAAACTTATATGGCAAAAGGGACTTTGCAGGTGTGATCAAGTTAAGGATCTTGAGATGGGGAAATTATCTTGGATTATCTGAGTAGTCCTAATGTAATGAAAGGGGGCATTATAAGGGAAAGAGAAGCAGGAGAGGAGATGTGATAACAGAGGGTAGATATAATTGCTGACTGAAGACCAGGAGCTAAAGACTATGCGCTGCCTACTATAAAAGCTAGAAAAGGCAAGAAAACCAATTCTCCCCTGGAGCCTCCAGAAGGAACACAGCACTGCTGACCTTTTGATTTTTACTCCAGTAAGATGCTGAACTCCAGAACTGTAAGATCATAAATGTGTATCTTAAGCCACTAAGTTTGTGGTATTTGTTACAGCAGGAATAGGAAAATAACACCTCAAATATGAAGGAAAATTAAAAAGTGACAATATCCTTTTCATGGTCCAGTTAGTATCACATTTCCACATTCTTTGGTTTTCATTGGTGATCTTGCTGTTTAAAATGTGCTAAAAAAATAAAATGTGGTGCTAATGTGTAGAGCTGTAGTGCTGTCCAGTGTTCTAATGCACAAGAAAGCCGTGCTGTGTGGGTAGAGAAGATGCTTCATAAATGAGCTTCATTCAGGGACAAGTTATGGTGCTATTGACCCCAAGTTCAATGTTAATGAATCAACAATATGCATTGAATAAAGAAATGCATAAAGCAAGGCTAGGTACTGAACAGCATTCAGCCATGTGCGTTATGTCAGGCATTGTGCTAAGCACTCCAAGGTTGTCCTATTACCCAAGCCAAAACCTTCTTAAAGTCCTCCTTACATAATCCTCTCCCAAAGGAGGAGCAAGCTGAAGCTAGCAGAAGTGGCTTACCTGAGGTTACACCAAGTCATGAATATGACCTCTTTTCCTTGTGTGTGCCCCACAGACTAAACGAATGCAACCTGGATGTTGCTGGCTGTGGCTTTCTTGCATTTGCACTTATGGGCAACAGACATCTGACACATCTGAGCCTTAGCATGAATCCCTTGGAAGATGATGGGATGAACCTTCTGTGTGAAGTCATGATGGAACCATCTTGTCACCTCCAAGACCTAGAGTAAGTTTCAATGGTTGTTGGGGGTCAGCTCTACTATATAGGGGTTTGGAGTTCCTAGAAAGTCCAGAGATGTGAGCAGGAAGACTGGTACCCAAGATTAGTTCTTAGGTCAGCTGATGCTCGTGTTTTCCAGGGGACACTGCAATGAGTGTGGGTAGAACACGAAATGAGTCCACACAGGAGCCCTGTGGCAGGATTTTTGGAGCTTAGGTCACTCTTGATTTCTAAAAACCTGTTCACTTCTCAGAAGACCTCTTTTTGCCCTGAGTTACTCTTCAGCTGTTCATTCTATACAGAATGAGGGTAGAGATGGAGGGGCGCTATCCCGACACCTTTTCCCTCTGAGGCTCAAATTTCTTTACCTTTTATTGGACTGTTTCTACTCAATAAGAGTATTCCATCATTAAACAGACTATAGGAGAGTTAACAAATCTCAATGAGCAGAAATAAATCTCCAATCTAACAACCAATCCATAAATGCTATTAATACTTTGACAAATTCCTCCTGCAGTTACCACTGAAAGCATTCTTGCCACATGGCAGGCACAGAACTTTAAATATTTTACATGTTTAGGCTCATGTAGTTCCCTACCAATCATTTCCAGGGGAAACCAGAACTCCCTAGAAGCCAAAACCTTGCCTTTGGTCTCACGTTCTGTCCCTTAAGGATCTGCAGACCATAACAGTAAACAAAGTATGGCATGGTATTCCACTTAATGATGCATGGTAACTTTAAAAATCCCCTAAAACTAGACACTGAGCTTGTGCCCAATGGTTTGGACATGTGTACCTTGTAAATATTTGTGTACTTGGTACCCCAAACCCATCTAGCATTTCAGCACCTTCTGTCATCCTTCCTCACCCTCTCAGGAACTCTATCAACTTCTCCTCTCGTGTGTGTGTGTGTGTTTCTTTCTTTCTTTCTTTCTTTCTTTCTTTCTTTCTTTCTTTCTTTCTTTCTTTCTTTTCGTCCACTGGGGAGAATCTTTATCCCATCTCCAGGTGGGAAGCAAGCTCTGATGTGCTTATTTCTTTTTCTAAAGATACCTCCAGCTACATCACATGCTTTCCCCACCTACCACTATCATCCCTCCTCACCTGAACCACTGGATGCTGCACAGCCTAAGCCATTCCCAGGGATGGACAGAAAGGTTACCAGTGAGGAAAAGTCAAGGAAAGCCCCACCAATGTTTCTGGGCACCATCCCCGTCTGGCACTCTCCTCAAATGAAACAGGTTTTCCTCTTGCAGATTGGTTAAGTGTCATCTCACTGCCGGCTGCTGCAAGAAACTGTCCCATGTGATTGTGAGGAACAAACACCTGAAGAGCCTGGATCTGGCCGTGAATGCCCTGGGTGATGATGGCGTCACAGCGCTGTGTGAGGGGCTGAAGCACAGGAAGGCTTCTCTGAAGAGGCTTGGGTGAGTTCCCGAGGTCCCCTGTATGAGGCCTGGGTGAAGAGGAAGGGAGATCAGAGCATGAAGTTGCTGAACAAAACAGCGTTCCAACTCTCACACCTCCATTTGAACCTGCCTTTGTTCCTCCTGGTGCTTAAGAAAGGACCTCCCCCCCCCCCACTTCTAATCAACCTTAAGACATTGCATAGGATAGCTCTGGGCTTTCTACCATGAAACCACTTATATATTCCTTCTGAATATTCCCTTCCTTCTGAAACAATAAAGGAAGAATCCCTACATCTATCAGATTAACCTCATTCATGTTGGGAATCTATGAACTGCCTTACACTATCACTGAATTACTTCCCCTTGCCTCTTTCCACAGCCTCCCTAATAGAGACTTCCTGTTTTCATAGATGCTTAGATATTATTATAGAAGCAAAACCAATAATAATGTTTATTCAATCCCACCTTACCACCTAACTATAGGCAGTTATACCTACTTGAGCTATGTCCCACGACTTTTTACTCTATCACAAGAAATTCCCAAATACACAAAATCTAGAACAATTGGGGCACTGAAAATCTTATGCTTACCACCAGGTTTAAATGATTCTCAATATTTTGCTCTGTGTGGTGAACCATTTCACAGTGAGTTATAGTTGTTCTGCCTCTGAATACCTCAACATGCATCTCCAACATAGGGGAACATGGCTACCATCCAATTACTACATCTAACAATGTGGTTTGGCCCTCAGTGCTCTTAGGCTAAAATCCTAAATCTTAATGTGACCTAAAGTGGCTAGCCTCCTCTCACATGATGGCCTCTGGCTCCCCTGTAGCCATATGGTTCACTCTCCGTGTCTCATATATGATCCACTCTTCCTTCCACAAGAGCCAAGTACGTGCAACTTCCTAAGCCCTCCTTGCTACTTCCTGCCCTGGTTCCTTTGTCTCTTGGGTTTCGGGTGAAATGCAGGTTCTCAGCAAGTCTTCCTCCATGTGCCTTCTCTTGTTCCCTGGTTACAGGCTCTCTCACCTTTTATCTTTTATTCTTTTCACAACTGGAATTAAGTTACCCAGCAGCTCTTAACAGGAGAACCAGCAGCAGTGGTAGCACCATCCTTTGGGAATCTGTTAGAAATGCAAATGTCCTGGTTCCTCCCCAGAATTGCTGAACCAGAAATGCCAGGGGTAGAGCCCACCACTCCATTTTAAGCATTAATGTGAAAGTCCAATGGGTTGAGGGGTCAGTCACTGAACTTTGGAGGCATTTCTTGTGTTGACCCTGCAGGTTGGAGGCATGTGGACTGACTTCCAGCTGCTGTGAGGTCCTTGCCTCGGCTCTCCTCTGCAGCCAGCGCCTGACCAGCCTGAATCTGATGCGGAATGATTTCAGCCCCATGGGAATGACGAAGCTGTGCCCAGCCTTTGCACAACCCACATCCAACCTGCAAATAATCGGGTGAGTACCTGGCGATTGTCTTCCAAGATGCAAACCACCTTCTGCTACAGGCATGCTGGTTGGTGGAGAAACCCAGAAGCTGATATGGTGGCTTAGCAACTAGGTCCTTGTTTCAACCACTAAGTGCCCACTGTGCTCCGGGCACTGTGCTGGGGATACAGGGATAGAGATGGAGGTGTGAGGTTCCTGATATCATGGGGCTTACTTTTGGATGGATTTAGGAAGAATGGAGAGACCACATACAAATCAGATGTTTATCCTTAAAAAGCTAATAATAGAATTGCTATATAATCCAACAATTCTACTTCTGGGTACCTACCCAAAAGAATGGAAACCAGGATCTAGAAGAATTATTTGTAGACCTGTGTTTATAGCAGCACTATTCACAGTAGTCAAAAGGTAGAAGCAACCTAGGCATCTGTTGTCAGGTGAAAGGGTAAATGAAATGTGGTATATCCACACAGTCGAATCTCATTCAGCATTGGAACAAAAGGAAGATCTGATACATGTTACAACCTGGATGAACCTTAAGGACGTTATGCTCAGTGAAGTCAGTCTGATGCAAGAAGACAAATACTGTGATTCTACTTAAGTGGGGTCCCTAGAGCATCCAAATCCATACAGACAGAAGGTAGATGGTATGGCACCAGGTGCTGTGGGAGAAGGATGGGAAGTTGGTGTTTAATGGGCACAGAGTCTTAGTTGGGAAAGATGAAAAGTTTACAAGGATAGATGGTGGAGGTGGCTGCACAGCAGTGTGAGTATACTAAATGCCACCAAACTGCACACTGAAAAACGGTTAAGATGGACAGCACATTGAGGTTGGTTTTCCCATATTTATTTCAATAGCAAACTTCCCTGAGAAACTCTTCTATGTGGCCCAGCTTCCAGTGGTTGGATTTGTGCAGAGGCCAAGTGTCAGCATATAGATGTAACAGGGTGGTTGTAGTGTGGGATCTGAGGAGCAAAATGGATTGGAAGGCACGGCTCAGTGGATTTGGAGATCCCAACATGGCCAAGGAGAACTGTCACAGTGATCTATTTTGCAAATGAGCTAGAAGGGCAGAAGATTGGGTTGAAAGAGCATGTTTGGACAAGTTCAGCCTGTGACCATGGCACTTAGCACTTGAACCTGCAAAGAGGAATCAGACCTGGATTTTACTAATGGACCTTTCAGAAGCCTATTTCCCTATCCACAAAATGGAGATGATTCTGTGTATCTATTTGAATACCTGTTTCTCTCTCTTGTCCTAGAATATAAGCTTCATGAGGTTTAGGGACTTTGGCTTGCTCATCACTGCCTCAAAACACTATTATAGGGCCTGGCACAAAGTAGGTTCTCAGGAAAGAGTTCATGGATAGATGAATTATCACACCCGCCTTTTAGGACCGTGGTGAGGGGCAGATGCCTATAAAAGCTCAGTGTAGCACCTAATACATCTAAGCATGCCTTTACGGGTAGGGATTTACTCTTATTCTATGGAGCACCTCAAGAGTACAAGAAGAGGTTTTAGATCCTTGATGTACTAAGGAAATTTTACGGAAAGGAGAAGTAGTCAGAAGCAAATTCCCAGAGTAATATATCTCTCTTCTCCAGGCTGTGGAAATGGGAGTATCCCACTCAAATAAGGAAGCTGCTGAAGGAAGTCCAGCTAGTCAAGCCACAGATTGTCATTGGTGATGATTGGTATTCTTTTGATGAAGATGACCGGTACTGGTGGAAAAGCTGAAGACTCCTCCCACCCCACCCACTCTGATGGAAGAACATTAAAAATAGTCTTCTGGGGTAAGCTGTGCCCAGAAACTCCCTCTTGGGGATAGAATATTAGTTCTGGTTCTCACAAAGCCCTCAGTGACATAGGCTGTGACTTTCAAATCCTAGGATCTCAGTATCTGTGAAATGTCTATCCTATCTTGGAGCATATAGAGAAAATTGAATAAACATGGAGAGCATTCAAGGAATAATTACCATGTGACCTTCTTGGGTAGTTCCAAGAGAAGAGTGGGAGGGCTTAGTCCTAAAAGTGGCCCCCAAATGTTGATGATTCAACTCTGCTGGTGTTAAAAAAAAAATCAAAGTACAATCTGAAAGTCAAAGGATGGTGTGACTATCATTATCTAAATATAAACACAGGGATGCCTGGGTGGCTCAGTGGTTGAACCTTTGGCTCAGGTCCTGATCTTGGGGGCCTGGGATTGAGCCCCGCATCAGGCTCCCCACGAGAAGCCTGCTTCTCCCTCTGCCTATGTCTCTGCCTCTCTGTGTGTCTCTCATGAAAAAATCTTTAAAACATGTATAGAAACACAAACTGGGGCACCCCCGGTGGCGCAGTGGTTTAGCGCCGCCTGCAGCCCGGGGTCTGATCCTGGAGACCCAGGATCGAGTCCCACGTCGGGCTCCCTGCATGGAGCCCGCCTTCTCCCTCTGCCTGTGTCTCTGCCTCTCGGTCTCTCTCTCTCTCTGAATAAATAAATTAAAAAAAATACTTATAAAAAAAAAAGAAACACAAACTGAACATGTTTCTTAGTGTAGTTGATGAACTGCTCTACCACCATCACTGAGAAGAGCAGACTGCTGATCTTATATAGGTAGGAATGTGGAGAAGCATGGAGTTCAGGGATTGGTGAATCTTCGGAATGAGTTGATCTGTAGTCTCTTCAGTAAGGCTGCTTAGCAGTCACAGGTGTGTTCACTGGGGTGAATCTCTTCCTGATTGGCTGAATCTCAGAAGCTGAGGGAGTCCTTGGTTGGCTTGTCAAAGCATGTTCACTGGGGTAAATTGTCTTGGATCCAGTTCATGGGTTTACACCTGGTTGGTTAGCTACTCTTTACCATGGCTACAGAACCATCAGTCTCCTTCTAGGAAAGAGGGAACACAAATTCTTGTGTTCTCACCAATGTGTATTTTTTATTAGTCCTTCCATTTATTTCTCTAGTCTATGATAATGATAGCTAACACTGCCCTTACTGTGTGCCAGGCTCTACTCTAAGCACAATCTACAAATTAACTCACTTGGACTTCAAATTCAAGCATTTTTCAAACCTGAAAATGTTTTCATTCTCTGATCTGCCTGCCTCCTCTTACCCCTGTAATGTGCTGATTGAAAGTTTATGCCAGGCATGGGGAAATGCCAGCCCTGTATTTCGTTGGCCTTATGTTACTAGCATCATCTTCAATCTTTGGTGTCTCTGAAGGAATACTTTTTTAAACCCATGTTCTGGGAGTATTCACCTTACATAATGCTTGTGCATTGGACCAGTGGGGCATGGTGTGTGTGATGTGAATGGGGGCAGAGGTGTCACAGTTACACCTCCTAAATTAGAGATCTCAGTCTTCAGAATACCTGTTCTCTGGGCAGCCTGGGTGGCTCAGTGGTTTAGCGCTGCCTTCAGCCCAGGGTGTGATCCTGGAGACCCAGGATCGAGTCCCAGGTTGGGCTCCCTGCATGGAGCCTACTTCTCCCTCTGCCTCTCCCTCATGTGTGTCTCTCATGAATAAATAAAATCTTTAAAAAAAAAACTGTTCTCCCACATGGGGCACATGACCATCTGACCCGGTGAGGCAGCACCACTGATGTGTGTGTTAAATACTAATAAAGCATTACTATTTTAGTCTTTTTAAAAGGATATCACCTTACATAGAGCTAAAAATACCTAATCCCTTCCTTCTGTGTTTCATGGAGTCTCTTGAACACTACCTGTCCCCCATCTCCCCTGACAGTACATATGTCCCATTTTGGAAAATTGCTGCCTGAAAAGGAAGATCAAAGAGAAGGCACCGTCTTTTTTATTCAGATCTGTTGGTGTCCTGGCCCTCTTAAATGATTTTTATGTGACATGAGACAAATGTCAACCTCCATCAGCCTTTGTTTCCTTATCTGTAAAATAAGGAAAACACCTACTTCTTATGGGCAGTTGAAAAGATGAATTCCTGGAAAGCTCTCAAAGCTAGAACATTCATTCCACAAATATGTTCTCGGATACCTATTTATCTGTGGCAGTCCACGATATTGTCACAAACTCAGCAACTCAAAACACATTCCCTCACAGTTTCTGTGGGTCAGGAGTCTGGGTGCGGTTTAGCTGGGTCTTCCACCTCAGCGTCTCACAAAGTCACAATGTGTCCTGTAGGGCCATGGTCTCATTGGGGATTCAACTGGGGGAAAGAACCTCTTCCAAACTCGTGGTTCCTGGAACCGTTCATTTCTTTGCAGGCTATTAGATGGAGGGCTTCAGATTCTTGTCGGTTGTCAGCCAGAGGGCATTCCCAGCTACTTGCACTGCCGCTCTATATAACAGGTTGCTTCTTCAAAGCTAGCAAGAAAGAGAGTCTCACTGCAAAGCAGACTTACAACTCCATGTTACACAGAAGTGAGATCCCACCATCTTTGCCATATTCTATTTGGCTGTAAGTCACAAGTCCTCACATTTGAGGGGAGGAGACCCCACAAGCGCATGAACACCAGGATGAAGGGATCATAGGGCCACCTTATAGTCTGATGCTCTGCTCTGAGCTCTAGCTCTAGAGGGAAACTACTCTCAACTCCTCCATGTTGGAAAGAGCAGCTAATGTCTTGTTCCCCCAGCTATCTCCAAGCCTAGAAAAGAAGTTACCAAGTTGATGAGGTCAGAAGGAAGACACCAGGCCTGTGTGGCTTAGCGCCTCTGGGCACTCCTTCTAAGCAGCCTGTCCTTAGGACATGTGCACTCTTTCCTCCTCCATGCCACATGCTTCCTGGGACTCTGATGAAGGCAAAGTGTTAGGAATCTGCAAATACAAGGGTACCTGGGTGACTCAGTGGGCTAAACTACTGCCTTCAGCTCAGGTCATAATCTCAGGGTCCTGGAATCCAACCCCACGTCAGGCTCCCTGCTCAGAGGGGAGTCTGCTTCTCCCTCTACCCTCCCCTCTGCTTCTTGCTCTCTCAAAATCTTTATTAAAAAAAAAGGAACCTGCAAATACAGGCCATAGGACCAATGAAGCTTTGAGTAATAGAGGCAACATCTTGATCTATATCTAACTCCTGATTTCTCATTTGATTCCAAGTTCCAAAAGGAGGCGATTATTATTATTATTCTTAGAAATGTGCAGCCCCCATGCACTGGCTGCTGGGCCAGAGCTGACAGTTCAGCACACAGTACCATATGTTGGCAAATTAACTTTTTTATTAAATTCAATCTAAAGAAAAAAAATACCCAGCCCTTGCCAGGCCAGAGCTGGCAGTTCAACAGCACACAAGACCAGCAATGCCCTTGCTCTCTCAGAGCTTATTACATTCTTGCAGGGGGGTGGTTTCAAGTACAAGCTGCAAATGTCCAGTCAATACATCCTACAAAGAGACAGTATGTTAGCAAGAGAGGGCCAGCTGTTTTTAAATTTGGAGCATGAGAAGGCTACATTTTTTCTGCATCGTTTGTAATTTTCAAGTTGGTTCTCAGATAGGATTTACATACAGTAAAAATTTCCCTCTGTTCAGCGTACAGTTCTGAGTTTTGACAAGAAGTTGGATAGCCATCAACAAAATATACAGAACAGTTCGTCCTCCAAAACAAAATCCCTCATGCCCGTTTGTACCCCCACACTTATTCCCCACAACCTCTCGGCATTGCTGAATTCACTAAACCTGAATTAGCCACCCTCCAAGTCATTGAGTGCATCCTAAAGCATCACAACGGATACAGCTTGGGCTGGGGATGCCCCACCTGCCTTTCTGCGGCTGTGCAATGCCCTCCAATGTCCCTCTGATGCTCACTAGATGGCAGTAGAGCACCATCCTTTCCTTTATACAGCTAAACCAGCCAGTAGGATCTGCTCACACCTCCCAATACTGCATTTTCATCCTCAGTATTGTTAGCATTGTTGTGGGAGAGAGAGCTGTCCTGCATGCTAGCATGTTGAGCAGCATCCCTGGCATCTACCCACTAAGACGTCAGGAGCACCCGCCTGCCCCCAAGTCATGACAACTAAAAATGGCTCCAGACACTGCCAGATGTCACCTGGGGCACAAATGCCCTCATCTGAAGACCACCACTCTACATTACACAGGGAAACCTCCTTCAATGGCATCCCCTGAACCCCGATGCATCTGACTGATCCATAGGCAATCCAATGTCAGCATGCAGTGCCGAGACTACCGCCACTTTTGGCTGCTTCTATCAGAGAGGGACAGCTGTGGACTGGACACCCAAGAGGGCAGCTGCGTTATCCACAGTTGCCAAAACTGCAGAAGCAATCAAGATGCCCTTCAGGAGGTAAATGCATAAATGAACTGTGGTTGGTCCAGATAATGGAATATTCTCAGCACCAAAAAAAAAAAAAAAAAAAAAAAAAAAGCTATCAAGCCAAGACATAGAGGAAACTTAAATGCCTTCACTATTCTGTGTGAGGCTAGAATGATAGATACATTATATGTTTGCCGAAACCAGTAGAATATAAATACCAAGAATGAACCCTAATGTAACCTATAGGCTTGGATGATAATGATGTGTCTTGCAGGTTCATCAAAGGTGACAAATGTACCACTCTGGGAGGGGGGATGTTGGTAGTGGAGAAGGCTGTGCATGTGAGCAGGTCAGGCAGTAAGTGGGAAATCTATACCTTCCACAAATTGTGTGAACCCAGAACTGGGTTAACAGGGATCCCTGTGATCACAACCTAAGCTGAAGGCAGACGCTCAACCACTGAGCCACCCAGGTGTCCCAAGAGACTCTTAATCATAGGAAACAAAC